AAAACAGTTAGAACAGTTTTCGCTTTTTTTTTTTTTTTTTTTTTTGCTTTACGGGTACAAAAAGGACCTTTATATTTAATCGTTTATCGTGCATCATGCATCCGGTCAGTTCTACAATGGGACATCAGGGTTTTCTAACGAAATTTAGTTGAAATATGTAATATAATAACAAATAATAAAGAATGTTCAATAACTGATAATTTAATTAAAATTATTTACTTATTTTCCAGAATAGATATTATCTAACTAATGCTGGGTAACCATCAATTTTCATTACAATGCTACCTCACAATGTCACAATTTCTGATTTTAATCATACATTTTATTTATTTAAATAATTAATTAAAGGATTAAAAATAAAATTAAAATAAGACTTGTATTAAATTGAGACACGAAGATTAATTGGAAAAGGTTTTGATTGTTCCAGAAAATATAAACTTTGGTTTTAGATTTTATTCCTAACCTGCTCTATATTCTTCACTTTCAATTATTATATTTAAATGTTAGCAAAATTGTATAAAAATATTAAATTTAGCTTTTTTGCAAAAATTACAATTGTATATTCGTAAATTGATATTCAATTTGTAAGTTTTATAATAAAAAAAATAGCAAATTATTTATTGCAAATTAGTCTTAAAATTTGATTATGTAAAATAGATGCAGAATGAAGGTAGCATTTATAAAATATTAAGATTTTCCAGCTATAAAATAATAAAATATTCAAAAAAAATAATAAAAATAAAAGCTACTTTTTCTCTTATCGATTCACTTTCATCATAAAAAAAACTCCTGGATTTTATATTTTCCTCTTTTAAGTTTTCCTTTTAAATATATATAAATAAGCTTATAACTTTTTCAGTCATCGACCCAGTTTTTACATTAAATTTCCGGGTTATTGAAACTATTTATTTTAATTTCGAAAAATATTGAAAAATTTAAATATATGTTTCATTTTTGAACTTTTCTTAATAATAAAGCCAGAGTAATATAAGAAAGAGAAACCTTTTAACTGGGCCTCGTAATGTCGAAAATAGAAAATCGAATAGGGGCTAAAATGGGGTGATAATAGTAAAATTCTGATAAGATACGAAAGATGGATCGTTTAAAGCATGAGTAGTAGAGCAAAACGGATACAGAGAAATCCGTTTTGTTCCTATTTTACTAGATTTTTACTTGCATTATGTTATGGATCCTCAAAAAAAAGAATGTTCTGCTTGACATATTTTTACTAAACGGATGCCTAATTTTCTAATTAAGAATGAAAGTAGACATTAGATCAAGGTCGCTTTTTCATTATATCGAGACTTAACAACAAAAATTGTAGTTAAAAAAATTAAGGTTTTGTTTCCACGTTGATATACATCTATAGGAAACAGAAGAATGAATACATTATTTAAAATATATTTATGATATCATCTTAGAATTAATTGTGTCGGAACATTCTTTGTTTAAGAAATTATATAAAAATATAAACTCAGGAGGGATTTAAATAATTGATCTCGAATATATCTAGGCTATATAAATAGTGATGAAAGTATATTATATGCTTTCATTAATTCCAAGTCTCGTAAGAAAGATGAGGATTCAGGTAGACCTTTGACTTTTCTTTTTCTTTTTTTACATTTATAAATTTACTTTTACATTTACAAAAATAATTTTTTTTTTGGTAATTTAGTTAGCCGTATTTAGTTTTATTATTATTATGGTGTTTATGAAATTTACGCACGGAACGATTGGAGGAGGTCTTGGAACTTTCGGTGGTTATGGAAGTTTTGGTCAATATGGTTATGGAATTAAACCCACTTTTGCTTCATACGGAGGATTTAAACCGTATTTTGGAGGATTTGGAGGAGGATTCAAACCTTTCGGTGGATTCGGAAGCGGGTTTGGTGGATTTGGAGGCTTTAAACCATTTTACGGTGGATTCGGAGGAGGTTTTGGAGGATTTAAACCTTTTCTCGGAGGCTATGGAGGTGGATTCGGTTTCAAACCGTTTTTCGGAGGATTTTATTAAAATAAGGTATTAAAGTAATTCATTTTTGTAATAAAACTATTATTTATTTTAATTACAAACAAATAATTACTCAGCGATTAATATTTTCTAGTTTTTTTTCAGATATTTGAAAGACGAAGTGTTTGCAAATACATGTACAGAATTCTGTGATATTTATGGAATCAAGTTTATTATTATGTCTACAAAAATAAATTAATAAATAATTAAACTTGACTTTTCTATTTTTTAAAGTTTAAAATAAATAAAATATACACTGAAATAACAATTAATTAATCATTGATTTTATATTCGTGTTTTACGTTTCCTTTTTTTTTTCTAAACAATATAAACTCATTTGCATAAAGTTGACATTAATTTATTATAGAAGGAAATTTCTATAAGTAACGTCGACGTTACTCGAATATTTAAAAGGCTTTTAATATAAAAAAAAAAGATATANTCTTTCCTTAATCTCGAGAACTGAATTAAATAGATAAAAGTCGAGACCAGATATAGAAATCTTAGTGGCATGAGGCCCGATTAAGTATATACAAACTTCCGGTTTGTACCAAAAGTCACGTTATTTTTATTCAAAACTTCCCCCTGAAAAGAGTAATATAGATGACCGGCACGACTCTATTGCTAGCAGAAAAGTATGATGTACAGGGACAAGACACTACTAAATTGAGGTGGAAAGCTAAATTTTAATAACACTACTAAATTTAAAAATAAATAAATTCAGTCCCGGGCTTCAGAACTCTTCGGTTATCTCCTCTCGTCGGCCCCTGTGTATAGATTCTATTTTAAAATACGACATTACTTTTTATGACAGAATTAAGGTAGTAACAATACTAAATATTTTGATTTAACGTAGAGAATCAATAAAAGTTTATATCAAGGTTATTCAGAAGGTGCTTAGCACCCACTCAATACCAAAGCAATCAGTTTTGTTTTTTTTAAATAACAATAAAATTATAACAACACATATCGCATATTTCAATAAGTAAGATTAGGTAACCGAAATAACTGTAAGATAATTGAGTAACATTCTCCGAAAAACGACATAGGGCTTGTGCTTTTTATCCTCTCGAATCTGTCTTGAGTAGCATCCCTATTCTCAAAATTCTAGATACGCCACTGATTTATATTAAACCGTTCTATTCGAATGACAATCCTTCAGATATGTTATTTGAATCGAAATGAATTAACCGGGATTTACGTTCATAAATTACTAAGTGTAATTTTTATGAGTTATTTATTTTGTGATATTTATACACAACATATTTTAACACAATTTTTAATTAAGTTCAACTAAAAACTAACTTTATATTTACAATAAATGAAAATTTATTATCCAAATCTTTTTAATTAAAAGAAATAATAACTTTGTCGATATTTTGCTATCACGTACTTATTTGGTTTTTTTTTTAAATAGAATTGTTCATTTCTACAAAAAAAAGTTTGATTTGTATTTTAAAAAATGCCAAATAAGAATTGTAGGCGGTGTCTTGCATGTATGTACCAACTTTCCTCACAATCTCACATGTTACGCGTATGTGACTTCCAAACCATCGATGGTTTCGTGCAATCACTAATGATGGCTCAATCCATTGTTATATAATCTATAAGGCTATCCAGCTTTTCTTTTCTTTTTTTTTTTTTTTGCTTGCGAAGCTAAGTTAATAATAAAAAAAATTTTTTAAAATAAAATAACGAATTAGGTTTTTAATGTAGAATTTAAATTAGACAAATAATTACACGGAATTAGAAAAATTAATTAGTGAAAGTCATCACTAATCTCTTAATTTTAAGTAAATGATTTAAATGAATTAACTTTGTCATGATTATTTTTAAAATTTTGATTAATGAGTTAACATAAGGATTAAAAAAGACACGAAATGAACTAATTCAATGATACTTTATATTATTCCCATTTAACAATTCTACTGACAAAGACAAATCACACTTTTATGTCCGAAATGTAGGTTGATTTCGGTTATTTTGGAAATAAAAACAATAATGAACCGGGCCACTCCTAAGAAAGTTATAAAATTTAAAATTGTTACTTAACACACAGAGGAATAAATACAGGATATGGAACAGAATACCGACAAGACTTATGCCCTAGATTCCGTAAATCTGCGGATTTTCCGACCGTTTTCCATCTACCTTTCAGTTCATGGTTCACTAAGTATGAAAGGTACTAGATTCCTCTTCCAATGTTAGCATCATGACGAATTTCCTCCTAACGTAAATAGAATTTGATACTATAATTACCGTTTATCAGAAACGATGCCTGTCATTTAAAAAAAAACGTACTGGATAAAATAGTAATTTATTTATCCGTTTATTTATGTGCTAGGTCTAAAAATAATAACGTAATTAAGGTATATTCACTAAAACTCCTTAAATAAACTGATATAGTGATATAAAAACATATATAAACAAAGTGAGATAAATCAAAACACACAAAGAACAATAAATTCAATAACAAATTACAACACTGATAACTTTCTCTTTTATTATAGAGAAAATGCAAATGAAAAGAAAACTTTTACAAATTGTATTCTTTTTTTTAACTAGGCCATTGTAGAAAAGGATATTCGAATAAGTGTCCAGTGAAAATCCTTGAAAATAACCATTGCAAAACTCAGGAAGTTCAACATTAATTATCTGGTCCTTAACTACACCCTTTTGTGTCTCCGATGGATTGCAGGAGTCGTTGCTTTGGAACACCCTTTTAACAATGTTTATTACTGAGACAGTGAAAAATCCGTCCTTACTTCTGATGCATATCGTTTTTCTTTTATTCTTTTTTAAAGATAATATTTACGTAATTGCTTCACTCCTTTCAACAAAGCATTTTACACAAGATGACTCCCACCATTTACATTATTTTCTTAAGAGGAAAACATGAAATCGAAAAAAGAAATTACCACGTACGAGATGCAAAAAATATTAGGACAAAATATAACATTTTTAGCTTTATCAGGACACAACGTATAGTAGTTGTATAGTAGAACTTTATATCTCGAAAACGGAAACTGTGCCGCTATTGTTTTACGTGGTCTAAATAATTGTTAAATTCATCAACATTAATTTTTTGGAAAGATTAATTATATGCAAAAAACAATAAAATATACCAAAACACGGATTTAGAAAGTTGCCAATTTATCTTTATATAAGGATCATTCGAGAATCGTAGATATTTGAAAGAATACACTTGAACATCTTTAGGGAGGTTGTTCGTTGCTTCCGCCTGTAATTTTCTCTTTTGAAATATTGCCGCCTTTTAATGGTTAAGGAGTGAATCAAAATCAGTGACATCGCCAACAGTCGGGGGAGAAATTTAAATTTATCCCACCCTAAAAACGTGACTGACATCTTGGTTTGGATGCAAGATAAAGTGCACTTTCAAAACCTACTTTCTCGCTATTGTTTTTATTTCGCTTCGTGCAAATATTTCAACCAATTAATTTTCAAGAGTATTACAAGTATGTAACGGAGGATGAACTATCTAAAATAAATCTGTAACGATCTGAAGTTCCAAGTAATAAAATGTCAAAGAAAACTAATTAGATGACCTGTTCTGTTGCATCTGCAAGAAACAGAAACATGTTTATTGAGTTTCTGTTAGGTCTACATCAATTTTAAGATAATATTAAAAGATCTGTAATTTAATTAATAACTTAAAATTTAAAAAAAAAAAACTTTCAAAATTTCCTTTAATTCATTAACGGATAACGATATTGAATGTGTGTACCCTTGTTCTAGATTTATACTTTGAATGCTTTTTTTTAATAAAAATTATAGCAATAAACAATCCATTCCTTTGTGAAGATTGAATTTTCTCGACGTTGTATTAGAAAATTTCCCTTTCTGTCGTAAGCCTCTTACCTATGAGAGAACAAAGTATTGAGAACTTATTTTTTATGATCTATTCTCCCAATCAAATGCTGTTGTGTGAACATACTTGTTAATGTGGGTTGTGTCCCCTTTAGCTTGGATTGTGTCACTACGTCCAAATCTCGAATTTTTTTTTCTCGTTTCGTATCTGTATAGGGGCGGAGGTAGCTAAGCTCCACTGTATATATATACGAGAGAAACAGTTGTACAGACATCAGTTGTAAGATACAAGCCAACATGAAAGTTACGGTAAGTTGCATTTGTATAAACCATTTTGTATGTACAATATGCTTCACTGGATATATTTCTTATTTACTTCCAAAAATTACTTTTCTGTAAAATTATCATATATGGATAACGATATCTTCATTTTTAGCTCGCTCTCCTTGCTCTCTGCGCCGCTTTAGCCCTGGCTTATGCCGGTGGTTACTATGGTGGCTATCCCTATGGTGGATATGGTCACGGATATGGTTACAGACCGTACTATGGAGGATACTACGGGGGTTACGGCCACAGGCCCTATTATGGAGGTTACGGCCACGGATACGGAGGATACGGCCACGGATACGGAGGATACGGACCACACTATGGTGGATATTACGGAGGATACAAACCACACTATGGTGGATATTACGGAGGATACAGACCCTTGTATGGAGGTTATGCATACAAACCATACCACGGTTAAGAATCGATCACGTAAGTAATTTAAAGGTAAGCAAATTGATCATTTAAACTTGAGAAAATGTTTTTATGAAAGACATGTAATAAAAATTTTTGTTCTTATTTTTCCAGATTTCGTCCGATCGCTGTGTACAGCTTCTTGATACCGTTCTTTCGAAAATATTTATCAACAGTTGTAATTATTTTTGTTTTTAAAAAAAACGATATCGAAAAATAAAAATTTATTTAAGATTTACATTTTTGTTTGTAGTTTATTATAAACGATTTTCGTGCAATATTCTATAACATTCGTGCGAGTATTCTGTTATTAGTGATCTTTGAGCATTCACGAAGTGCACTCTTACGAGATCCGTAAAATATAGTAATTATGAAATTAAAGACTGTAATATATTTTGTGATTTTTATAAAACTGAATCTGTAAATAAATAGTAATATAAATATTTAAAATATATACAGGTTTTATTTTACAAAATAATTAAAGAATCAGCGGCGCATTATAGCTTCACGAGGTGAGGCAAATTCGAATTAGGAGGCTTTTAGTTACATTTTTTTCGGGGAAATATTTTTAAAATAAAAGATTGGTTTAGGATCTTGATTTGGAAGGGCAATCTCCTGTTGGTGAAGTCTTCCCTCCCCAACAGGGGATTGCCCCTTTTGCCATAGAATAACGCGCCACTTACAGTATATCTCTACTTTCAAATATAAAGTATTTTTTGTGTGTGGTGTTAGACCTCTTTCCATTCAGTGAACACTAAGAGGTCAAATTATAAAGTGTTTCTAATATAAATTTGAAATAAACGAAACTTAATATTACTTCCATGTTATAACATTGAATTTATTAAACTTGTAAAATGAATTAATAATACAAAGGAAGAACGAAGTCTAATTAGATTGATTCTATGCTTTACATGTCGAGATATTAAAATAATAATAAAAAACCCTTTCAAATTCATGTAAAATATTTTAACGAAGATAATATGTGGGCAATTAAGTATAATAGGAGTATATTACACTTGCCCCGGGCTAGATAGAACTACTTTTTGTTTAATTGGAAGAGGATATGAGGCACTTTTCTGTTTCGAAATAACATTAACAATGAATAAGTTTGTTTACCGCAAACTTTCCAACATAATAATCCATCTATAATCATTATCTAACCGTTGCTTAAGTCATGATTTATTTTATTCAATTGTTCTAGTTTGGATTTAAAATATAATTTCAAATATAACATGTTAAGTTTTTAAAGTAATCAATATCAAAGATAATTATCAGATATACAATTTCCTAGAAATACGACGGGAAAAAACCTTTATTGAATTAAAAGTAGAGATATGACACAGTTTCATTGCGGTGAACCGATAATAAAAAAGTAAAATAAAGTAATATCCACTAAACAAAGAAAAGGCATATAAATTTATTATTAAACAGATTACAGATTGAACTACTTATTTTATTATAATCATTTTATAAAAATGGCAATAATATTACACGCCTACTAGTTNATATAGTTTATGTGACGGTTTTTAAATATTTAAAAAATTTTGACGAAACATTAGATTTAATTATAATACTAACAAATGGTCGTAAAATGAAAGAAAATGATTGTTAATGAGTAACAAGGAAGTGTTTCTAGCGGACCATTAAAAGAATGAATCATTACAAAACATGACAATGAATATATGACCCACTTTTAAAATGTACAAAAACAATGAATATCAATATTTCTAATCCATAAACAAGTTTTATATATTTTTAAGTGGATATTGTTAATTTTAATCGTTAAAATTATGACTATCAGATAATGAAATCTCAATTGCTATGCTACGTAATTTTACGAAGCTTTTTCATTTAGCACCTAATTAATAGTGTTCTATTTTTAATATTCTCTATTTAAAACTTGGGAAAATGTTTTAAATATATCAAAATATACTTATTTATTTTATATAATTAATTTAATACTTTAATAATTTAATAAAACTCTCGTAATATTTTCGTGACAGTTTTAATGGTTATAAGATTTCATATTTCACGTAATTAGCCTAATTATATATATTATGTATTTGACGTTATCCTTTGTCGATAAAAATTTATTATAATTTACACCTTTGCATACAATTTTAAATGTAGTACAGTTTTTGAGGGTGACATCTCTAAAACAGGTCAAAGAGAGTATTGATTGGTTATATATTGATAGAAATACAATATCTGACCAACTTAACAGATGAGCGATGTTGCAAAATATGTATAAATACTAAAGGACATCCTCTATATTGCTGTTACCATTCGAATCATGTATAAGGTGAGTTTATAGTAATAAAATATTAGTAGACGAGTTTAGAACCGATGTTTATTACTGTTTTATTCCTTATAGCCACTTTTGTTAATTTTGTTCTTATCAAGAACGTTATCTCAACCAATTAACAAGAACAATACTTTAGAACTGATATTAAAAAATCATCGTTTAACATCCAATGGTGGAGAATTTGCGCAATTGTTAAAAAGTTATGGCGATCCAGGAAGAAAAAATGGAAATCGAAAAGCCGATAACGATCAAACTAATTTTTCTCAAAGTGGTGAAATGAATACGAGAAACGGAAACGTTTTAAACAACGAAATGCAATATGTTAATATGGAAAATGGATTTTATAATAAACAAAAACAAGCCGAAGATTCAGAAGGAAGGAATCAGAGATTTAGAAGTAACTGGGAGGATCTTAGAAAAGAGTTTATTAATGGAGGAGAGACAGATTGGAAAGGTTTCAATGGATTCGAAAGCAGTGACGGTGGGAGAAGTTACACAAATGGCTGGAATAGTAACGAAGAACCCAATTTTAAAACTGCATGGAACGGAATAAATAGTGGAAATATAGGAAAAGGATGGATTTTACCCGTTAACATGGGCAATTGGAATGGAATAGGTGGAAATGGTGGCAATAGTGGAAGTGGAGGAGGAGGAGGAGGAGGATACAATAAGGATTGGAACGTACCGGTTAATGGAAGAATTGGATTTATACCACCAAACGGATGTTGTATTTTTAGTAGCAGTAGTTTAGGAAACGGATGGAATACGGGACAACAAAGCTGGAATGGATTGGGTTATGGAAATGCTTATAACAATCCTGGATTTGGAAAAGGATGGAATAGTTATAATAACGGTGGATTTGGAAATGGACTTAAAAATAAATGGCTTGGATTTGGAAATACGTTAGGAAGTCTTCTGGGAAGCTTCAGTTTATTTGGAAAGAAAAAAGTACCTTATGGATGGAATGCATATAATTGTTAGATAATTATAAAAAAATACGTATTTAAGTTTTTAAAAAGAATTTTTTAAAAATAAAAATAAATAAAATCAAGTTATTCGTTTACTTTTTAAAGATTATTTCATTTTTTGTAATTATTTTAAATCCGGTATTTTTTTCCACCAATTTTAGTAATTTTTTTATATTATTTATAAAATATATTTTTAATAATATTTATATATATTTAAATTAGAATTTTTTAATGCGATGGATATATATATAAGGAAATTGTTATAAAAATTACGATAAGCAAACAGATATGTAATTGCCTACTAGAATTACCTGTTGCTAATATTTGAAAGTTAACGTCATTATTTTTTTATTTTAGATTCTTAATATCATATTTTTTTAATGTCACTTTATTAAACAAGACTAGAATGAGAGATTATTTTCTATTTTTTGTTCGTTCTAATTTGACTAAAGTTAACCTCCACCCTTCCTTTAGGGAGGTATTGACCCATATGCGTTAGATATATGTAAATATACAATTGTTTAATTGAAGAAACACTTCATTAATTAGTTCCTTTAATGATGATAATGCTTTATATGACTTTAAAATTGAATTATATTAAGCTTCGTTTCCATAAAAATCTTTTGCCTTAAATCTAAACGTGAATTTAATGAACGAATTTTAATTAGTGTTGACCATTTTTAAAACACTATAATTATTTTATAATAAATTCTAAAATTATACATTATTGAACAAGAATAAACGTTTTATCTGTATATATTATCAGTATTCACTTTGTATATTAATAAAATACTCTATATAACAAAATACTTGAATTTTTATCTCTATGGAATCTTTCTAATTATCTTAAAATACATTTATTTCAAGATTATTTCTCAAATGTTTAAAAATTCATGACGCATTTAAATATTTAAAAATATAAAAAAATAATTTTTGAATAAAGATTTATACTGAAAATAATATACAAAAATAATTCATGAAAGTCAGTAGGGTAGCGAAAGTATGGACAATTTGGACCCAGCCATAAAGCACTAATTGATCGATGATACTAATACTTTTTATTTTATTTATTGAATTAATAATAATTATGTATAGTTAGAGAAAAATAAGTTGAGATTTGATATACATTCCAGTTCTGTTTTTACACGGCAGATATCTTTCTGAAAAATCTGTGTAAAAAGGACACTGTCAAAATGAAAGATTGGTTCCAGACTTTAAAAATCAGTAAAATAATACAATAAGCTAATTAATATAATAGAATGTGTTTAAACAATATGTTTCAATTTTAGTTAATAAAACAGAAGAAAAGCAAATGTAATTTACCTCTCAGCAAAATTTAATACCTTTATATGAATAAATTTTAGTTTTATTTTGTTTTATTCTTTCAATCAAACACTAAAATAGTCTAGTTTTTAACACAAACCATTTCGCATTGAAAGTATTACAGTGGAACCTCGGTATACGACCTTAATCCGTTCCTGGTGTTTGGACTTATACCGAATAGGACGTATACCAAACCAACCTTTTCCATAAGAAGTAATGTAAAAATGATTAATCCGTTCTCCTGTAAAAAAAATGGCTGGCTTTAAACACCTCGCTTTCCTCGCTAGTTTCTGCTTGATTTTTCATGAGATCAGCATGNATATATATATTATATAATATTACGTAACTAATATTTTTTCTTAAATAAACAGGCAAAATATATTTAGTAAAGTACAAATTTATTTTAAATTTTATCAGATTGTTTTCTCGTGTCTGAGCTTTTCCAGTGTAACTCAGATAAATGGGATTATCACTTTATCATTACAGTTAAATCTTTCTGAGAAAAATGGCAGTTATAATCACACATTTATTATTAACTAACAAGTTAAACAATCGAATAAAATGATTAATTATTCAATGATTAAACTACAGTTATGTTTGCTTTTTTATAGATCATTTTAGACAGATACGCGCTTATTGTTAATGTAAAATACAAAAATTCTGTATGACAATTACGAGTTAGAAACATTTCTAATCATTTAGATAAAACTTTTTTCAACAATCGACAATTTTCCTTTTATTTTTAATATCTCATAAATCAAATTTTTAACTTTTAAGAACATCTGGCTTATTAAATACATGTAAAATGTTTTTTAAAGAAAATTAAATAAATATTTAAACTTCTTATACAGTACATATAAAGACATTATTTATTACGAGAAAACAAAAGTTTGATGCTATATTAAGTAGGCCATGGGAAAATGAAATTAATTAGTTGATGGAATGTTAATTTTTACAATTATTATTATTTACAAAAAAAAATGTCAAATAAGAAATTAAAACGGGAGATATTTGATAGAAATATGTGGTTTCGTTTAAATATTGTAGTTCAAGGATTCTTTTAAGGTAAGTAGGTGTATCAACTTTAAAGTAAATATGACTGGGAGGAGCGTAAAATTTTCGATTGTTTTACACTTCATGCAGATAAAACGTTCCATTTACACAATCATAAATTATCGCTTTCGAATACTTATGCTAAATTTTTAAATAATTTTTTTAAAAAATCATGTTTAATTTTAAAACTGAATATAATAGTCTACAGTATTTAAGTATATTTTCTTGCTTTTNATTGCCTACTAGAATTACCTGTTGCTAATATTTGAAAGTTAACGTCATTATTTTTTTATTTTAGATTCTTAATATCATATTTTTTTAATGTCACTTTATTAAACAAGACTAGAATGAGAGATTATTTTCTATTTTTTGTTCGTTCTAATTTGACTAAAGTTAACCTCCACCCTTCCTTTAGGGAGGTATTGACCCATATGCGTTAGATATATGTAAATATACAATTGTTTAATTGAAGAAACACTTCATTAATTAGTTCCTTTAATGATGATAATGCTTTATATGACTTTAAAATTGAATTATATTAAGCTTCGTTTCCATAAAAATCTTTTGCCTTAAATCTAAACGTGAATTTAATGAACGAATTTTAATTAGTGTTGACCATTTTTAAAACACTATAATTATTTTATAATAAATTCTAAAATTATACATTATTGAACAAGAATAAACGTTTTATCTGTATATATTATCAGTATTCACTTTGTATATTAATAAAATACTCTATATAACAAAATACTTGAATTTTTATCTCTATGGAATCTTTCTAATTATCTTAAAATACATTTATTTCAAGATTATTTCTCAAATGTTTAAAAATTCATGACGCATTTAAATATTTAAAAATATAAAAAAATAATTTTTGAATAAAGATTTATACTGAAAATAATATACAAAAATAATTCATGAAAGTCAGTAGGGTAGCGAAAGTATGGACAATTTGGACCCAGCCATAAAGCACTAATTGATCGATGATACTAATACTTTTTATTTTATTTATTGAATTAATAATAATTATGTATAGTTAGAGAAAAATAAGTTGAGATTTGATATACATTCCAGTTCTGTTTTTACACGGCAGATATCTTTCTGAAAAATCTGTGTAAAAAGGACACTGTCAAAATGAAAGATTGGTTCCAGACTTTAAAAATCAGTAAAATAATACAATAAGCTAATTAATATAATAGAATGTGTTTAAACAATATGTTTCAATTTTAGTTAATAAAACAGAAGAAAAGCAAATGTAATTTACCTCTCAGCAAAATTTAATACCTTTATATGAATAAATTTTAGTTTTATTTTGTTTTATTCTTTCAATCAAACACTAAAATAGTCTAGTTTTTAACACAAACCATTTCGCATTGAAAGTATTACAGTGGAACCTCGGTATACGACCTTAATCCGTTCCTGGTGTTTGGACTTATACCGAATAGGACGTATACCAAACCAACCTTTTCCATAAGAAGTAATGTAAAAATGATTAATNGAATTTTTTTGTAATACATGAATTTTTAACGTGGAAGTATTAATATATATATTTTTGAGTCTTAAAATTGATAAATAAATAAAAACTTATGTAATATGCTGATAACAAATGAAATTGGTATTAAGGAGAATTCGTCACCGTGCCGGAATAGCTCAGTTGGGAGAGCGTTAGACTGAAGATCTAAAGGTCCCTGGTTCGATCCCGGGTTCCGGCAAATTACATTTTTTATTTTCATTTAAAATTTTCTGAATAAAATATATATGTTATGAACATATTTATTTGAAACTAGTATTTTATATTATTGTAATAAATATGATTACCGTAACTTTTGGTGAATGCTTTTAAAAAAAGTTTATACATGTATAATTGATTATTTTTACACCAGATGGCACTACAATGTGTTTTCTTTGAACGCTATTTCTTTATACTGTATATTCATTTCGTATAACGAAACTTATATATATATAATAAATATTATTTTAAAATAGTTTATTTAATAATTGATATTTATTTTTTAAAAAATAAGCTAATTAAAAGTAAAATACGTTTCGGTTAAGATAACGCTATTGAAGACTTCTTAATTTTTTTTGATTCATTCCGATTCGTTCCTGGGTCTACTGAAAGGTTCGGCCATCAATCTATCAAAAGATCCTGGGATAAGAAGTCCGGTCCACCTTCTGACGTAACAATTTATTGGACTGCATATTGGACCTATAAATTCCCACCGTCGTCCGTCTGTCTGTCTTTCCTTAATCTCGAGAACTGAATTAAATAGATAAAAGTCGAGACCAGATATAGAAATCTTAGTGGCATGAGGCCCGATTAAGTATATACAAACTTCCGGTTTGTACCAAAAGTCACGTTATTTTTATTCAAAACTTCCCCCTGAAAAGAGTAATATAGATGACCGGCACGACTCTATTGCTAGCAGAAAAGTATGATGTACAGGGACAAGACACTACTAAATTGAGGTGGAAAGCTAAATTTTAATAACACTACTAAATTTAAAAATAAATAAATTCAGTCCCGGGCTTCAGAACTCTTCGGTTATCTCCTCTCGTCGGCCCCTGTGTATAGATTCTATTTTAAAATACGACATTACTTTTTATGACAGAATTAAGGTAGTAACAATACTAAAT